CCTTTTTTTCCCCCCCATTCCTTTTACAGATGTAGATGGCTAACAAATCACTATTCTGCAGGGTTTAACTAGTAAACAAGTGTATACCTGTGAAGAAAACTAACAGCACTTACTTTACCATTAATTCTCAGCATTGCATTCATGTAAGATAATGGTTTCTGACCTAACAATAAAGTGGCCTCAGACAAGAGAAAAGGTCAGGGTGAAAGAAAGGCAAATCAAATCTCAGGTGATATACTTTTGAAGTTCCCTCCCCATAGATATCTGGTCTAGTCTTGCCCTACAGCATTTCAGAAGAGCAATCAAGACCTGGTTATTCCATCTAGTGCAAGAGGGAGGTTTGTAAGTGGAATCTAGCAGGCACATAACTTAGTTTATTTCCTGTTTATTATTTTGATGTTGTAAATTTTGTTTATATTACAGGTAGGTTTATTTTTTTTTTTATGGGGTTGCTGTTTATTTTGTGCTGATCTTGATTGTTAGCTTTGGGAATGGATGGTATACAAATAAACAAAATGAATAAGCCAATCTTAGCCCAACAGAAGGTTCTAAAATTGTTTGAAATACTTTAAAAAAAAAAAATTGCCTCACTAGATCAGGCTCACAATTATTTAAACTTAACAAGCATGGCACATAATAGTAACTGTCCTCTGGGTTTAACCCAGGGGTCTGATAATCAAAGGTACACTATTTGCATTAATTTGAGGCTCTGTAGCTAGTTTTTTCCATACTGACTTGCCTACTGTAGCTTGATAGTCACAGCCAATTTGGATATATCGGCTAGATATGGATATGGCCACATTTTGTTTAAGAATGAATTAATCACAATTAGTTGGGTGTGCATCACAAACCAAATCCTAATTTTTAGTTTACAATTCCCCTGGCTATGTTCACATGGTGGGTTCAGCTACATCAAATAAACCACATGATGACTTATCCAACTTCAATTCATGTGCAGCATTAATCAAACCTGAGCTTATTTTTGCCCCATGAATACTGTGCAATTTTGAATATATATCATATGGCTATAAAACTGACTGGTTTACACAACATGCTAAGCATAATATAGTTGGTTTCATATGGAATTAGGATATTATACAAAGCTGACCATTGTGGCTTGTGAACCATGGCTGAAATGTGTATGTGAACCTTTTCTACATGTTGCAGGAGAAAATTCAGAATCGTGGGTAAGCTTTTCAGAAAAAATTAGCTGTGACCACTAATCTTCTCCTATGGACCATCATAATATAGTTATTTGGGGGAGGTAGGTCTTTATAAGTGCAGGAGACAATACTATAGCTAAAATTATCCAATATGCATCATTGTACATTATTTATAGGTCTGGAAAGAAATACTTCAAATTCCTAGGGAACTCCTGGGAAAAAAAAGCAAATGGGTTGATGGTAATAGCAAATTTCTAGTTGTTGCACACAGTTGCAAAATTCAGTTTCTCTACTACTTCTGCTAGAATTCTCCATTCTAATTGACAGATTGACTCAGCTATTACATCACTTGAAATCCTTTACACATACAGTTGCTGGGCACTAAACTGAAGAAGTTTGTTTTGTTGTCAACTTCATTTTAAGCTGAAGCAAGCAATTGGTCCATCTACTACAGATTAACTAGCACCTGCTTTCTGTACTTAAGCTGATTTTGTTTCTCTCTCTCTCCAGCTCTCACCTAACTGAAATTTCCTTTGGTAGACTCTAAAGTTTTTAAATTTGGCTTTACTGAATCCTACAAGAATCACAGAAAAAGAAACTACTCCACAGCTGGGCAATCTGTGCAGGGTGCAGGGAGGAATCACAATACCAAGCATTTAAGTTCTTCAAGCAAAACAGAAGGTAGAAGAATGGGCTTGATATAGAAGCCACAAAAATCTGAATGTATTCAGTGTTGAGAGCATAGGAGGAAATAACAAACCATTTGATTAGTCTCTATTAGAATCTGCTATACAGACTTCAGGGCCTGTCAGGACATATAAAGACACAATGGCACATTTCCTATTTTGATCAAGTCAGCTGATTCTTTTCCCCCCTGTCTCTCCATCTGCATGGATGCTTGACATTTATCTTTATGGATAGGTCTGAAGTATGTGGATTTTGGATTTTTATTAAGTAAATACAAAATTATCCCACTTTAAAATTTATTTCCAGCCAAATCATATGTTATATCTACAGGATGAGAAAGGAGAAGAAAAAGGAAGCAAGAAATAGAAAGGAAGATTTAGCACACATCAGTAGAAGGCAGGAGGAGCTCATTGAGAATGTTTTCCTTTCAAAATACTTTGAAATATTAAGTCATTTCTAAGTACTAACACAATCCCAATTTCCCAATATTTAATTCCCAAATAAAACTTATAAGAATACATGAACGTGACCCAAGAAGTCATAGGCTTGGAAGTGAAATTATCTAGCCCAACCCCTGTTCAGTGCACTATCTCTGAAATA